TCAGTGCGAGTTCGTGCCCCAAAATGCAGAAATAACGCATACAGGCAATCCGTTGTCAAAATGGGGCCCAATTAGCTCGTCATTTGGGAAAATATTTTGAGATGTCATCGAATTTATTATCATCCGGTAGACATTTTAAGTTCTGAAAATATGAGACGTTGCTTTTTGTGCGGTCTGGGTTCCGCAACTACGTTACTTAGAAATGGAGCGAGGGAAGCATTAATAGTTTCAACAAAATATCAATATTTAGATGGCTGCTATATCGTCCATTCATAATCGTAGAACGGAACCCTAAAAGGGAACGCATATGAGGACAATGCCGCAATACGTCCGTCGATGAAATGCAGTATTAAAGCACTCGCTAAAAACGTAACTTAATTCAACAAGTTTTTAAATAATCCAAAGCACATTCGTTGCTGGTTTTTGCTGTGGACGTTCATTTTCTTGACGATGAGGTTTCATGTTTGGACGAGTATTCAAATGTGACCCAAACGACCACCTACATGATAAAGAACGTCCAATCGGTCGCCTTCTTAGCAAGTGCCTCCAAGAAGTATTTTATTTTAAACTTTTTGATGAACACACGATACCGAATCTGCCTTTATGAACAATCGACCGAAAACTCTGCAAATCATGAAATACTGAGCGATATTTCAAGGCAGACCCGAAACACAACGCAATCCGGAAAAAATGGGCACATTTATTTTACGGGAGAAAAGCTTTCTCTATAAATGCCAAATGGTATGTTCACGGTTACATTTGCCAAAACATCAATGAATTACGCGAGCCTGGTAGTCATCTGGTGGATTCTAGGTGAATTACTTAGGAAATCCTGCTTGGGCAGTCAACTTACTGTATCAGATTTGGTGGATTCCAGACGTTGCAGTAGGTTGGGCGGGTAACTTGACCCAAATGTGATTAAACTCGCGTCGTCCGGCGGGGCCTCGTAGCTCAAGTGGTTAGAGCGTTGGCTGCGCTAAAGCCTTCCCCTTACTGCGTGGGTTCGAATCCCACCGAGGCGCCGAGTTTTTCACAGTTGGGTCAATATGAATAATTTATTAGTCATTGACCAGCCTGGCAGAATACGAACTTGGGAGGACTTTTTCCCCATGATGTCCCCCATCGATGAAATCAAACAAGACCCTGTCTGCCTTAGTGGATCGCGTCCCAATTAAGGCAAAAAAGCGAAAAAATACAACAAATTCCTAGAAAACCTTTTTGAAATCTATGATCAGAATATAGGCTGTTAGCCATCTGCCATACCTTTAATAACACTGATTCTAGAGGGATATTGACGTGCAGACTTCAGTAAAACACCATTTTTAAACGGTATTCTATTTGCGCTCTCCTACGTGCTAAGGTCTGTATGCCAAAATTTTGTACAAGACATCTGGATGTTTTATACAGTCTAGTATTTAAGATGCCGTCCCACGGAAAACACAATTATACAGCAAACAAATACCAAAACGATATTTTGTGCACTAGTTCAAGCATCTGGGACGAAATTAATGTAGGAGAAAGGGCATTCACCAAAAGTGCGGAATACATAGTTAGTCAGTACATTCTTGATTGAGGTTAGCACCTACTAGCATGCTCGGAAAATCAGTTTGTATGCAAAATCCACTCGAGGTATTTGTCTTGTTATTCACCTTTATAACCTCAACTGATATCTTCTGTCTGAAGACGAATATAACTAATGATGCACTTATTTAATGACTTTCGATGCTTACATTCATTGCGTCTCCCTCGGAGTGAAGTGTATTTGTATGGGTTTTGCTGAGACGTTATGCAAATAATATACTTGCATATATATGCATATTTATAGCAGATGAAACTTTGAAATGCGATGGTAAATACATAACGTCAGGCGAATGAGACTCTTGCTCTTGCGATCTTGTTTCCATCTTTCTAACTCTCTTCTAGAGTTAGAACTGTCGGATTCTCCAAATCTGGATTTAGTAATGAATAGCTGGCGGCTTTTTGTAGGACAGAAATTGCCATCTCAGATAATCTCGTGGAGGTGTATCACTGACTGCTGGTTGCTTTCTAAAACCTTATTTCGGTATTCCACAATGAAAAAAATTGTCTGTGCTCTGGAGTGTGCAACACTGGTTTGCAAGGCTAACATCCGTCCAAGTTGGGTTCGCGTTTATCCGCCCTGTTTTGACGGTGTGCCAGGAGGAAGTATTTGTCTCGACTCGGCAACAACTTCCAATAGCGGCAGCCCCCGGACAAGGCATGAGTTCAGTGTAGTCTTGATGTCTCTATACGAGTCTATTCCGTTTCTTGTGCTGTAATGGGTAATGCCGATTGCTGACAACCTTCCCCAGAGAACGCTGTTACAGCACTTGCGACCTTCATCACTGCTTCCATTCCCCTCCACGGTTCGGTGCCATTTAACGACTGATCGACGTACAGTACATTTTTGCTGACAGTGCCGTCGGAGGGCACAATTAAACTTTGTTGTTTCTGGCTCGGTAGTCCGCTCGGCAATCTCACTACTAACCGATCATCACATTAAATGCATTATTCCACCTAAGAAGCCGACGAAACCGTCTTTCATACTGCTATTGTTTCATTGCTCCCACAAATGTGCGTTTGTCAACTGGTTTCTCCTAATTTTTCAGTTTTGTGGCTACTGTTTGGTGTTCCATATGAGAGTTGTAACGTGTTTGTTTGTGGCAGGGGTATTTTGAGGCACATGGTGTGGTGTCCGACTGTCCTCTGACTGCCTGGCAGAAGCCAATCCCGACGATGCCTCCCTGTTCCCCTGCGGTAGAGATAATTGGCTGTATGTTTATTGTCTTTATACGTATCGTACACCCTTAGGACCCCATACCTATACAGCATTCCGAGGGTCACTGAGTGTGGACAGAAGCATGTGCATTGTAGACTTGGACGAAACTTGTCGTCTGACAACGGAAGCAATGTTGACAACGTCCCGAGTTCGGTAATAAGTTTTGTAGATTGCAAGCCCTTAAAACTCTGGTTTATGAGAGTGCTTCATTTTTGCTTGGAGGCAATTCTCTGTTGGTTCACTGAAGGCACAGTAAAGGAATCCCACGGGTATGAATCAAAAATTTACGCAACACCAAATGGCTACTTTCCGGTAAGTTAAACAAGCTTTTCGAACTCCGCCAATCAAATAAATTAAGTTGGAAGGCAGTTCCGCTCCTCATTGAAATTAAAACTATCGAAATTATCAGAAACCAGCTTGCAACAATGCCATGTGCACGTATGGATGATTCAACTAAACAAAGGAACTATTCACGCAAAATAGCCTCACTTGCTTCTACTTAATAGATTTATTGTTTTTATCTCATAAGTTGACATCAACAACTTAGGGTTCAACCCCTAATCATAACTCGCGGAATGAGCAATCAGGCAATTAACTTTTATCCCGCCAAATTTTAATATCTGACAGGGCAACGACTGTCAATTCAAATGAGATGATTCAGACTCGCCACAGCTTCTGTTCGAATTCCCCGCTTTATAAAAGATTAGTCACCTTATTCATTAAACTTACATCATATTTTTTAATAATACCGTAGACATTCATGAGTATTTAAAGGATATACCGTGGGCACATCCCCCTCTGAGAGTATAGAACACTCGGCCAAATCGAATTAGGACCTATAGAGTTACACAGGCATTGGCTGAAATTGTCTTGATCCAGAAATGTGGATATGGGACGATTTACCCAAAAATGCAGCCCACATGTCCAACTGGGCTATAAACCGAGCGAGCATTAATTAATCCAAAACTCTTTTGTCGGTTTAAAAGCACACTCTTTGTGGAACCCACATAATAAGACTTCTTTTTAGCACTGATTTACGATTTGAGACAGAAAAAACTGGCCGAAATACTGAAGCGTATCTTCACTTTGAGCCGATTACTTGAATGATGTTGCGAAATCCATAGAAATGAACACTGTTTTAAAATAATTTACATAGCGTGAATTTTTTTTTCTCATAAAAAGCGTTACGGCCATCAAATTCAGAAAAGGATGTCCACTCGAGAAAGTGATAAATTTGTATGAGTTTCACCCTTTGAGTGTTAAGTTAGAATTAATTTCTTCTCTCAAACTTTATCTTTTGCACTCTTGCGGCCATTTAGTTATGGTAAGCGTTTGAATTTTAAAAGGATTCCTAAGCCATTATCGGAACATACCTGGCGTCTAATATCCGCAAGCCCTCTAAGTTTATGTGTTCGAAATGGTATGAAAAATCCCAAATATTATTTTTTAAGAAAACACTACCGTGTTGCTTGAAAAAGTTAGGTTTATTCATTTTGAATCATCTGCAAAAAACTCGGCAATCTCGGTAGGTTTCGGACGCAGGACAGTAAGGGGAAGGCTTTAGTACAGCCAAAGCCCTAACTACCTGCCAAACACCCGGTGGTTAGACTTATATAAAAATGTGAACTAGTTTTCAATATTTTAATGTAAACAGCTTCGGTTAATCCTGTTTCTTGGGCATTAATTTATCCCGGTACTTCTAGGGATCAATGATGAAATTTACCCAGACATTGGCACCACCGGAAAGTGTCTGTTCGGGATGCATAATAATTAAATATTCCCGCATTATATTACTTAAATAACTAGTGATAAGTAATAAGCCTGACGGATGGCACGCTTGACCGTAGTCTTAACTTTCAGAAGAAGAGGAAGCTGCGATCGATGAAACAAGAAGTTTACTGACCTGACGTTTCTGATTCCCAATCGAACCCATCATCAAAGGCTTAACGTTATCTGCTGCCACGCGATCTTCACTTCCGCAGTCTTTCCATCTCTCTAGCGTTATGAAAACGTCTAGAGCGTACTTTTTGTGCCTAGGCACACAGCGTTAATGTGAATTATCCAGCCCTGTGTTAACTCAAGGAACATTCCGTGAAGGTGGAGCGCAGTAGACAATTTATTACAACTCTTGATTAAACAAAGAACGGTGTAGTCTGGCCGTTCATTCAAAGTGGCAAGGGATCATTCTGCGCGAAGAGGCGATTTAACTGGAGGTAGTCTGTGGTTTGATCAAGTAGTGGTTTGCCAGCATCGTCATCGGTGCAGCAGTCGGCACGGTGTCGATTAGGCCAGCGCTTCCTGCCACGTCAAGATGTGCGAACTTGATCGGCGTGTCACTGTCCATACCATGCTGAAAAGTGAAATTTCAAATTTTTACTCATTTGGGAGCAATTAAAATCCCCCTTGCAAGCATACTGCTAATGCACAGCAAAAATAAGCAATGGTGCAGTCTCCCCCAGGGCGACAACGTCCTTGTCGGCCCGAGATCGTGAACCGAGAAACATATCAAAGCACACATTTAATGGTCGTACGAGTCAGCGTCTTTCCAAAAGAATACGAGAACACCTTCCCGCATGGCTGGCGATAGGGGAAAGTAGGAGAATAGACAGCGCCATCGTTGCGCATGCAGTGGATTCAGGCCATTGTGGGGACCCAACTGAATTATTTCGTGTGATTTATAAGGTCCCCTCGAGCTACCCTAAGCTACTGGGCCAGCGCCTGTTAGCAACAGCAGAATCGGCCGTCATTAGGTTACGAAAACCGACCCTATGCGCCCAGAAGAACCTCGTTCAGGCTCCGCGTATACCGTGGTCAAAGGCTGGCTAACCACATACCACTTCCTGCGCCCTTCCGCTCTTGCCTAGCCCGTGTTTTTTAAAAACCAACTTTTATCGATTTTTTCACTCACTGTATCCCGTCCCATATAACTGTACTGGCCTTACGAGAAGCTATCGAAAGCAGCGTTCGCTCTCCACCTTTTATTCTGAATTAGACATAAGTGGTAGTTCACATCTTTCAGCCATCAAGTAAACTTCACTGTATGAAGCGCACAAGCGTTCTCTGCAGGAGACCAGTCCTGCAGACTTCCAGGCTTCGGTTATTTTACAGATTGTTTTATTACCTGTCGTCAGCACTTAAACAAACCTCTTCCGGAGAGCCTGTCTTCGTCTTCAATTGATTAACCCGGATATCTCAACTTTGCCTATCTATTACCTGTTGACCTACATCCTTGTGTTCTCCCATCGGCATGTCTAAAACTATGAGCTCATGTATACGCGCACGATCATACCACACATACTTGCAGGGACAACGGAAAAGGAATGATTTTTCCCGAATTATTTGACACTACAGGGAATTCATTAAACAAACTCTGCACTCTTTTGGAATGCTAATAAAGATACTCATTCTTACCGCATCAAGTCCGCTAGCTTGAATCATGAAGGCGGCAGGGAACTGATGCCCGCGCGTGGTTGTAACGCTGCCGGCGTTGTTGCACTGGAGGTAATCTTCCGTCTCCAGAGGGGTCAGGTTAAAATCGTAATCTTCTTTTCGAAGAACTGAAATCTGTTTTGCGATGAAACAATAATGATAAGGATTTTAAAAATATCACTTTTAGACTGAACCCCAGAAGTAAGATAGATTTTAATGTCTACGAGCTGGAGAGGATGGATTGGATGCATTTGCTCTTATTCTGGTAGTGTTATTTAACCAGACTTAATAAAGAATCAAAATAGCTTTCAGGAGAGAGACAGAGGAACAACTCTTTGATCAGAAATTTGCTGGGAATTTTCGTGTTTCATATGCAGATTGAAACTTGAAATTTCAGACGTCAACCAATATGCTCTGTCTATAATCGCACTGCCAGGAGTTGGCAACGGTCCATGTGCATATAACAGTAAAATATGTATACAATAGCAGGTATACAGCCATCCGGACATGAATACGGTTTAAAGGGTTAATCTGAAAGCCTAGATCATCGGGGTGATATAGGACTCACCTCTAACATGTCAGAAATCTGGTCCCCTGAAAATCGTAGTTGTTTAAGGAAAGTAGCATTCTTGGAGGGACCGTTTTCCATTGCACCCTAAAAGAACAAGGCAAATAATTTTAGTTCCCTAGACTTTTTTTATCAAGTTCATTTTCGTTTTTTGAGCTTATGTTATATTTGTCATTGATGCATTGCAGGCTGCCTTACCGTGATCCATTTATAGCAGCGGACAACGTGGCCCGTTAGAGTCGCGGCAGTAATGATTTGAACGTCTTTGTCCTTAAACTTGCTGAGGGCCTTGTAAGATTGATAAAAGGAAGGGAGGAAAAATAAGCCTGCAATTTTTTCATTGGTGGTCTAGTGCAGCGTAGATTTGAGAAAGGAATGGGTCGACGCCGAAACTTTCGTATGAAGAAATGCAGTCATAATTGTTAAGAGTGTAAATAGTTCATTCGACAACAGAAGATACCCATAATATCAGCTATGGAATTTCTGCGCAGAAAAATCCCTTTGAAATTGTGGAGAGGACGGAAAACACCTGAAACCCTCTGCCCACACGATGAGAACCCTGTAATATTGGGTTTTCTGTTGATTTTTGACAGCTGATTAGAGGACATATCAAACTTGCGTGATTTCAAAAGGCTTGTATAGACAAAGATTGTGGTTGCGTGAATTTTTTACCTCCCCTGCACAGATTAACCAAAAGCTGCACATTTCAAAAGGCCAAGTTAACTTCGCATCTTGCTTTAATCGGTCTACAACGACAGTTTACTTTTTGCTTGAAAAATCAGCTTCGCCAGACATTCGGTATCCCACTCATCTTTCCTACCTACGGGATCTTCCTGGCAAGTAAGAAAAAACGTCATGCCATTAAATGCATATTCAAACGTAATGTTGATTTCAAACATTAGATTAGGGTACCCTGACCTCGGTTCATGATTTATCCGAAAAAACTTTTAGTCATTAACCTCTGCAATTTATGTTTGCACATCTTTCGGTCACAAAAAAACATCCGCGAAGACTGTTATTATGACGTGGAGCGCCAAAAGCACAGTATACGAATGCATGAAGTATTCTGACCAGTTTTTTCCGGCCCATAAACAAAACAATGAACATGAAAGAAAAAGGCGCCATACCTCTTCCTTGGCCTCTGCCACCAGGTCAGTCATGACCATGCGACCTTCGGCGTCTGTGTTGCCAATGCGAACACGTTTTCCCGCGCGAGATGTGATGATTTCGTCCACGGTGTAGGCTCTTGCAGAGAGGGCATTGCGCACAAAGGCCAGTTTCGCAGAGATGTGAAGTTCTTTGGGTTGGAGAATCTGGGCTGTTCTCATAAAGCCCACGATTGCGGCAGCTCCACATTTGTCTCTATGCATTCCAACCATCCCGCCCGATACTTTCAAGTCGTAGCCACCAGTGTCGAACGTGATACCTTTACCAACCAAAATGAGAACTTTCTTGGCATTGTTGATGTCTCCGAATTCCATTTTGACAACCCTGCCCTCATGACGCGTCACACCTATAGGAGAAGCGAATAGAGGTAAGCGTTAAGGGGCCAAACACCAAGAACTTGCATTAGTCTGACATTTAGAAAAGCAGCAGTCTGGACGCACCCTTGTTGCCTCTATCGACGGCAGCCATAAGCGGATACTGAGACTCCTCCACCGCCACGCTTTCTTTAATGAGAGTTGACAGATTGGAATTGCTTTGAAGGTACTTTAAAATGTTCTCGGTTGACATTCGCTCGGAATCAGAGCCACAGATGTCCCTTGCAATCCAGCGGCCCTCCTCAATTGCGCTTGCATATTTAATGGCCCAATCGAGGTCAGCTTGACCACTATTGCTGTCAAAAGCCATGGCGGCCAACAGACTTTTGTATTTCGAGGCTCTTTCTGGGCAGCATTCCCGAACTTCTATGGGCTGGAAAGGAAGTCAAAGCCAGTTAATCTCAGTGCAGAGAGGCGCTCACATATACATATATGGCGCGCGATTGTGGCCAAGTCGACTACAAGTGCACCGCCGGCAAAGAGGATAAAGATCACGCGGGCGCGTTAACGGTCAACGTTCATCCACCTAGCACGGTTATAATACGAGATGGGCGGCAAGACTGAACAAATGAATACCAACAGGAACAGCAACCGCGAGAGATTCGGCATAAACCAACGTCATGTACATCTACGCCAGTATTAGTACTACCCGTTTGTAGAATAGACATTACTCGGTTAATCTGTGGCAGCTTATTGTCTTAAACCAAAGCCTCATTGAAATTTCCACACTGGCTCTTAATTGTCCCGTGACGTTTACTTATTCGCAATTCCTGCGTTCGATAATTTCAGAACTAATTAGGTGAATATAAATTTGTATATATATATATATATATATATATTCCCGATCGAAAACCGACAGGGCAACGGGCTCGCAGCCCGGTGAGTAGAGGCGTTGACTTCTAAACCAACAGGTCGCGAGTTCGAGGCTCGGGTGTTCCACACTTCAGGCTTGGGTATGGCTGGCTGATGACGGCTAATACGCCGAAAATGGCCATTCCAGTCTCCCATGTCTTTGTCGGTAGTAAATTTCTACCTATATCATGCGCCGCTGTGCGGCTGCTGGTTGGGCTCGTGAGAGAGCCCTTAAGGCACAACAGAACGAGTGAGTTCCGTAGAAAAATTTCCTGGTGAGCGCCCTCTACCATTCTATGTTTACATATGCCTTGAGAGTTGGACATTTCAAGACATGCAACTTGGAGTCAGGTGTGTTCTTTAAGATAAAGAAGTTTATTGTGTAAATCGTCGGCGCCAGTTCTTTAGGTCGTCGTCATAAGAGAACTGAGATCTATCAATAAACCACCCTTTATAGAGGTTTCAGAGACAGATATATTATCTATTGATAAAGTGCTAAAACGTCTTACAGGGGTAGAAGCAACTGTCGGGAGGTATTGTCAAATCTCTGGAACAAGGTGTACCAACCCTCACGAAGACCAATGGATTTTCTAAAGTTCTCAAAACTGAAGCCCGAGCGCGACCGTTTGTGTAATCGGGGCATCGATGGCTCTTTCACAAAACTTCTTCAGTTGGCAGATTTTTAAAGTTTGTAAAAAATATGAGAAGTCACATTGTCCGCTGCTGAGACAATAGTCCCCTCGAGGTTGTACGTTCAGACCGCCAGATTTAGCAAAATAATGCACAGGGAACTCCTGCTGTCCAACGACATGCATGTCCCAGCAACAGCCACACTTAAGCCAATGATTGGAGACTGGCTTTTCTATCGACAAACGGTGCTCCTATGGTTCCATCTGCCTCTTATGTTCTCGTTGAAATCACGATGAAAAACTAAAGGCTGCGGTATGCAGACCGAGTGAAGACGCTTCACAAACTCAACTAATCCGGGATTAAATCCATACTCGAAAAGGAAGGTGCCAATTAACTGTAAATTCTGTATATTATTGTACAGCGAAAGACTGACGGAACATTAGTCACTTCAGTTTGCCAAAACGAGATTTGTACGGAAGTCATTCCATCTTATGAGATCAACCGGCCCATCTCTCACAAACGAAGAGCACTCGACAGTCTGCTGAGTCGAGCAAGACCCCTCGTTCTGACAAAACAATCTACTAATTAGAACTAAATTACTCATGCGAATTATCTTCCCAGTATGGATACCCCAAAGATTTTGTACGCTGGTGCAAGAGTCAGCGAGGGTCAAAGGAAAAGAAACTAGGCAGTTCCATGCAGACGCCCAAACTAGATACTTGGTAAACATTTTTACATTAAAAACTTGCTTCAGCTCGTTGAAATACACTTATGGAAGCACCAGATTCAAGTGACGCGCCAACCGACGACTACTTTACGCACAAAGTTTGTATACCGCTGGGATGGGGTTAGATATTTGGGCAAGAATGAAATCCTCCGTGTGTGAGCCGCGCGATGAATGTGGACAGACTGCAAAATCTGCAATTACGAACCCCAGTTGACAGTAAAGATGTGTGATCATCTTCTCCAGGTAGCCATGCCTACCCCAGACACCGAGGACACCTACACTTCAGGCAGAACTCGCTCACACGCGAGCCACGATTGACTTAAGTCATGGTTCGCGGTACCCGAGGCTATCAACAAGTGCAATGACCTCCCAACCCCATATACGGTGCTCCGACTTAGTTTGATTAAAATGTATGAACTGCATTATGTCACACAGGTAACAAATGCATGTGCGCAGGCAAGTTAAAATGGTAAACGTTCCTTAGAGAAACGATGTGGCGCAGTTGCAGGAAAAGTAAGTACGTCGGAGAATCTAAAAGACTGCTCTAGACGCGAATCGCCGAGCACGCGGCAGTGGTGCGGAGACATGACGCCAACTTTCGATGGGGGCTAGCCACACATTCAAGTTCGCTGAGGCCGAAATTCTCGCGAGAGGGGATAATCGCGTGGGCTGCGAGTTGCTTGAGTCATTGTTCACGGGACCTCAGCCTATCAACAAGTGTAACGACATCTCCACTTCATATTGCGTACTGAGGCATAGGCTGGACAAAGTAACTGACCACTCGGGGAGCAAGCAGGCCAGTGAGTCTGATTGCCGAGCAGTGATCACGCCAAAGTGTAAACAGGGTGATTAAATTTCAGCAGTAACCGACTTGCATGCTGGTCATCAAGCCATTAGAGCACCAGAGGGCAGCAATCCCCGATGAAAGGGGGAGCCAGTAATTGTCATAAGTGTGCAGTAGCGTAGCGACTGCTTTCTATGAATACTGCAACCTCTGTTGTATAAATTACCCGTATCGGATACTGCCTCTGATGGTGCGTTTGGACGTGAATTCGAGACGTCAGATGTATGGAATTCTTTTCTATTGATCGCATTGTCGTCCTCGGCCATTTTAAAAACCGAGTCTCTCGAAACTATGCACTCACATGGATTCTGCATAAACCAGCACATGCAGCTGGATGTTGCATATACATAGGATGAGGACGAGGGTCAAGCAGAACGGAATGACACACATGGTAGCCGCTTGCTGGAGCAAATGTCGATTTTTAAGTGCGCTACAGATGTTAACTATTTTTTGCACATTTACGATCCATGGACATTTGCTGACCACCTGGGGAACCGGCATCGAAGTTGTACATATTGAAGTTTCTTTTCATAAAGGTAGCATCCGACTCTAACATATATATGCATTGAAAACCGGGTATCCCAAGAAATTTAATTTTGATGTGATAAAATTAGTTAAAGAGACCGTGTTTAGCAAGTGATTCTGCGGTTTGCCGCTGTCTGCTTTAATATGCGAGCACAGCCAAGTCCGAGGAGATGGCGAGGTGCGATTAACGCGTCTTGGCGCAGACGTCGGCCAACCGCAGAATCCTTTGTTGGACACGGTTAATAAGTTAACTGTTTCCTTACATCACCCAGTGTCTGATGCTGAGCTGGGGGACCAGCCTTGGAAATGTATGTAATATAAGTTATATTTTTTCATCATTGCCCAAAAATATACACAGTGGGAAGTGCTTTAACCGATCAGACTGCTGCACAAGATTATTCCATACATATATATGATTTTGAATCCACCTAGTGTAAGAAGAACGTAGAAAGCACACCATACTTACCACATAGAGTGCATAAAGAGCGCCTAATAGGGCTTGGAGGTTTCTGTACTTCGGTTCCGCCCATGGTTCCTGCTTGTAGTCTGTCGGAGCATTTGTCATGTTGCCGATAAGAAGGAGGATATTTTGGGCTCCAGCTTTATAGGCCCTGAGCAGGTAACAAGACGAGAAAGGCTTTAACTTTTTTCATAAAATTCCCTTTAAAAGAGATCTTCAATTCAATTTCAACGAAAGACGGCTTTCTAGATACTGTTAGGGAAACAACGAAAATTGCCTACATGGTAAGGGCTTTGTGTGCGGCTTCGTAGATCGATCGCGAGTCAGCGACATCTGAGTCAAGTCTCCCCGTGGGTGAGAATATCTGAAAGGCAAACACGTGACTCAGCATGCCGAAGAACTGTATGTATTGAGTGACTGAATTTGATTAGTAGACTCAACCTATAGAATGAAATATTGGATATTTCGCACGTTACTTACAATTCGTTTGACTGTGTTATTTGACGTGAGGTCTACAGGATGTACACTCGTCTTGTTCACGAAAGATTTGTCAATCTGGAAGAGAAAGCAAACAATAATTAAGTAAAGGTTGCAGCGGCTTGTACAACTGATCCGCTGAAGAACGCATCTGACAAAAAATATGTAACAAACTACGCATGCAGGAAGATATTTGGAAATTAAATTACAGCGTTCTCACTGGCTCCCGTTTATTTCTTGCGTCAAGAAAGATAAAAACGATTAGAGAACAGCATGCATCGCAAATAACATGGCTGTTGGTGTCATCTTGTGCCCGTACTGTTAACACTGTTTTGGACAAAACATCTCAGTCTGCACTGCTCACTAGACATTGTATGCAAGACTTGGGAATTAAAAGCGGTTCAAAACGTTGAAAAGTAGACATTTCTCAAAGTCTAAGCACTGTCAAAGCACGCGTGAGAAAAGGCAAGATTTGTCTAATTAACACTATTTTATCTCAACTAAGTGTCAATAGGTGCACTGCAATTTCGCAGTACAGAGCGAAAATTCCTTTCTCCGTTTTGCAATCGGCGGTTGACCATAATTTGGAATTTGGTTCCACTAACGTCCATTGTACCGTTGAGACTGGGAGAGATGCAGCTAGAGATAAATGAATTTGTGCCGTCCTAAAAGAACCTATTTCGTCTTGACCTCATAATGTACATTTATGAAAAACGGTCGGATAACAGTTTTAACTCATGCCTGTAATCATTAATGCGTGCCCTATATGTTAAAGGGTTCGGTAAACGAGTTTTCGTATCGCAACTTTTTAAATCATAAAAAATGATGAGGCGTCTTTGCATTAATTCTGTCAATAGGCGATTTTTATTTGCATTGACCTAGACAAATAGTCCTTCGAATAGATTACTGATATAATCGTCTTGTTAGTGACTGTTTAAAAACCTCCCTGAGGCTAGGATATCATCGTGAGACCAATAACGAAGAAAGCCAGAAGCGTACAGTTACAGTTGGTACTTCTTACTTCTTCAATTTTTTTCAATGCATCCTTAAGTCCAGGCACAACTTTGACATCTTCTGTGGGCAAGGCTTCGTCAATGTAGACAACCGTATCAACCTCCGTGTCGGATTGCTGCTTCCGTAATTTAATAAATCCATCCTCCTCTGCCGCCAGAGATAGGCATATGGCATAACTCAACCAAAACGCTATCCAAAACGCATTCATTTTGCCCTAACGGCTCTGGAGCTATTATTGCAGATGTCAGCGCTAATTTTTATACCAACCCTCCCAGTATTCAGTCGAAGTGCAGGCTATGCATGCTTGTTGTTGATAGGCTAGTCTCTACACCGAAAACGCAGCCTGCTGTTGAGCTGGAAGAGCAAGGTGACACATGTGCCCCCACATCTTCAGTGAGAACGAGCAGATGAAAAGGATGCCTAATACCAAACGTTTCTTTCGCCAAGAATGTCCAAATTTTGCAATAAGAACTCTAAAGAAGTGTCAGGAAGCTTTTTCTGTGTCACTCCCCCCAGACACAGCAGTTTTTGGACTACGTAAGCGACATTCTTCGCGAAATTTCGAAAATTACCGGGTGATTAGACCAGCATCGCACTCAGTAGGGCCATATGTGAAGAATACAGGGGCTGGTAATTGTGACGGTTATGCCATTACATAGAAACTACATTCTATAGATACTGCATCCCTTGTGCATCCATTGCCTCTATCTGCTTCTAATTCTGACGATGGACTCAAGTGCGAAAACGAAACGTCCGGCCATTATCTTTCTTTTTTCATCGACCGTAGCTTTTTATTTTCCCTCCGTTCCTGGCACTCGCTGTTTCACTTGTGCGTTCATCCCATAGTTACTAACTAGTTGTTTGTTAATATAGTCGTCGGTTGGTCACATTGACAGACAGTTCAAATTCTTTCGTCATTTTTCAACTAATCATTGGTTTATATAGTTATTAGTTAGTGGGTCAGATATTAAGCTGTATTGTTGTTAGGAGTGTTGTCAGTAACTAGTCAGTATCGATATTTTCTGGGTTCTATATCTTTAGCTTTGCCTAAACGGAAAACAGCCAGATGAAAAATTTTCGGGGATCAATTTTTTGTAGATCTGCCTACAGTCCGTTTGTCATGCCGAAAGCGAAAGATAATGTTCAAATCTCAACTTTACACTCCATGCGCTGGGCTGTCTAAAATTTTCCAATTCGGCAATAAGGACTTAAAAGGGGGTAGAAATTTCCCTCTCTGCCGCGTTCTGCTGTTCGATTTTCCTTGATAAAATTCGGATGGAAAGGAATAAAAGTGATTTACGGAGGTTAAAAAAGATGCAAATGCCAAAAGCATTTTATTCTTCTGATTTTTCACAAGAAAGATGATCGCAAAAGCCGTTAAAGGATTCAGAATAATAATCTGGTCAAAGATTACTTTTGCTGAATCTCTTTTTTAGCCTTTATGCAGACAGTTTTCATGCCAAAAGCGAAATTCCATGGCCTGGTTTTAACTTTGCAGCATACTCTGTGCAAAAGCAGATATCTTGATCGTGCGTACTTTTTGAAATTCGTTATCTATCGTCAATTGTTGCTTGATATAAGCCTGCCACAACCTACTTTGTGGTTCAAAATAGTTATGAGGTTATCCACCGGTGATGTAAGCAATAAGACAACCTTAAAAATCATGTGTTTTGGTTTACTGGGATAGGAACTTTGAATCAGCAATCATTGTGCAATCCAACAGATTACAATTTGTACTTAAAACACACTATGGGTGCAAGCGCGTCTTTCGTGTTTAAGACAGAATTAATTATATGGTTGCCACAAAGGGCTGTCGAATTGTTCTATTTACTGGAGAAAACACCATTTTAATGCACACAGTTCTTCGCTGAAAGATTTATATCTTATTTTGATCCCTATTTTAAATTAAGTTGTACTCTGAACGTTTCTCTCTGAAACTATCGACTGGAAACCTCAAAAAGTTCCTTTTGTTTAGGTAGAGGGTACATGAGTTTGCGTAAATGTTCTTTAATAGTTGCAACTTTCGTGGATCAAGATCGAGACAAAACTACCCCCTAACCAGGAATTTGCACAGCCGGTTGATGATGTCGGAGTCGAAGACATTTGAACTGGTCGAGGACTCTTCGGGCTGGGATTAACTGTATCTGCTTTTAATCAACCGGTCGTGGACATATGACCGTGTACTCAAAAATTACACCGCACCCTGTTGAAACCTCCTACAAGCCGGACTGTTAGGAAATATGTCGAAGACCAACCATCTGATACAATTGATGCATGCGTGAGCCAGGTGAACGCTACTCAGGCCTATCATTGACCGCAGTCGGTATTTATTTTTGCGCATAAATCAGACAGACTTTGTACAACAGACCATTTCAGTTTGCGACACAGTAAAGACGCGGCTTCACCGGGCGACTAGGAATGCTCATAGAGTTAAGTACTTAGATGCGGTTAGCTGGGCGTCTTTTGAGAACGGAACCAAAAAAGCAATGCCAAATAGACTCTGAACGATGCCGCACGCCAGCATTCCTTAAAACAAGGCATTGATAACTGGCATTCCTTCTGGAGCAAGGTGACAAGTCAATTTGAGTTTGAATAATCAGCTTTATTTGTAAATCCCGGTCATTTCGAAGGAAGTAAATGCAAGGATAGTCGAATGCGGTCATAGTGACGATGTAATTGTCAAATTCTCAATGAGTCAGCAACCTCACAGATATAAAAACGGTTGGAAACCCACCACAAATTCAACCCACAAATTTCAAGTCAGTCGTTACCCTAACTCTATTGTGACAGATTACTGACCAGAATGCAGTTCAAAAATCAACTCTTTATACTCATCAGTAGCCGATGATTTTCCTCCGTATCAGGCATGTGCTAACGTAGTGCTTGCTTTTACAGTAGTTGACTTCACGTAACAATGAGTAACGTCCCGGCCACGTTTTTAAACAAAATCCCAGATCGCGAATGAGAAATGTTGGAGACCGTCTGGCGTTCAATATATTCAGAAAGTGTTCCAAGGAAACGAGAAAATATATAATGCCCTGCCAACTATTTGGTCTTCGAGGAGATGTTTAGCGTTCTTATGGAACCTACAAATCGCCTGCAATCTAAATTGTATTCTACCATTTCTATAGGATGAAATATGATTTGCATAGTAAGTTTGTTGATAGTTTTTTGGTAAATATCAAGTATTTCAGTCAGTATCAGTAACCATATTTAGAGTTATCGACAGTAGCCCTGAAAACACCATTTATACGGTACATATGACTGAATTCCGGCGGGCTTTTGAATTTGAGCCGCCACTTTTGTAGCTCTCCATTCACGTGTGGATTCTCAAAAATTGTTCATTACTCTGCCTACTTCCCTTCGATATACTGAACTTTATGCATTCCTTTCCTCGTGCGGCTTTCCAGGCTGGGTTGTCTCTTGACTCAGCGATTATTTTCTTTCCGCACTCAATTTGTCCAATCTGACAAGCGGAAATCTATGGTCCTTCCCAATGACTGCGGAGTTCTTCAAGGTTCCATTCTGTCCCCTCACCTCTTCTACCTCCACACCGACGATCTAAGGGCCCCTAACGACTGACTTTTGGTTAAGAATGCTGATGATGTGGTTTTTGGACATCCTCTCAAAAATCGGACACATCTCCAATCTCTTAAGGGTGGTCTTAACCATATCCTAGGATGGTCGGAGGAAAATGGTCTCCTAATAAACGACCAAAAATCAGTTCATTGCATTTTTCAACTGCGGCCCTCTCCTAGTCCTGCATCCTTTGACATCTTTCCTAACGAGGTATCCTCTTTCAGGTACCTTGACGTTACTTTGTCCTCAAATCTTTCATTTTCCCTCAATATTGAGTCCCTATTTACTAAAGTTTGTAAACTTCTTTATTACATTCGCCGTCTGCGTTCCTACCACACACCTCAACCCTTAGTCTGGTGATTCTTCTTCTTATCCTATACTGCTATCCTGTCATTTTTCGTGGTTTGTTCAGAAGAGATCTTTTAATTTTAAAACGGGTCTTCCGAATGCTCTCTTCTGCTGCCGGTGTTTCTTATATTTTTTAGGCGACACTATCCTTCAACGACATTTCAATACGGTCAAGCAATTTCCTGGTCGAATTCTAAATGACGTTGCCCATTTCTTGCATTCCGATCGTATTTCTGCGAAGTCTACCCGCCCGATGCGCCGCGGTTTCCGACTTGTGTCTTGTCGCACATCGGCAAATCGAGATTCTGTGTTGCCATTCCTGGCGCGCTATTTTACGTGTGAAGAGATAGAAATAGGGAATCCAAGACATGAACTGTCCTCATGATAACCGTCCATTTGTGTTAAACTTTTTGACTCCGGTATAATCTATTAACTTGTTTACTGCCCATAGTGAATGGAGTCCATTTTGTGCTGAAACTTTTGGATGTAGGATTTTAAAATAAAACGAATTCCTTTCTCTCTCAAGTCTTTTCACCTTCTATTCACTTCAGATCGTTATACTCCCTTTGCAACTGTTTTTACAACTATTGCTGCCAATGAGAAAAATAAATGACTAAATCCTGCGCTACGTGCACCTCCAGTTTGCCATTTCGTTTTGCAAGCATCCTGTTCGTTTTCCTCGTCTTTCATACGGTCTTCACTAACGTGTAACTCACAGGCATTTTCTGTCCGATTTTTGATTCCTGAAACCGTCGAACTTGAAGAGATCCATAATTATCGATTTTCGTTTTTCCCGGCGCATAGACCAGTGAGGTAATCAAGAAGACCGATGTGTCAATTTTCACAAATTTGGATATGACGCGATCTCCGGTCTTAGAAGGGTAACGAAGTCAGATATTCTTATCGGGCTTTATCGTCAGGCTTTCATTAAAAATTTAAATTAATTTCTTTTGAATTGAAAGTTCATAACTTTGGGCTCGTGAGTATTCTTGCACACAGTCATCACAAAGCGGACAAATCAGTCCAATCTCGTTAAACCCAACTTGGCATATACGTATTTGGTGTCATTCGAGGTAACTTACATCTCCGACCGCATGTTGAAATAACTGGAAGAGGAACCGACGTCATTGGGTTTACAAATTTCCTCATAAAATGCGCAAAGTTTGAGTAAATTAATCAACATAAAAATTCCCAGTTTCATTCCCGAAGTTTGCTTTAGCCTGAAACGTATGAGATATGTCTAAAAAGTGTAATAATCGCATTCTACAAGAGGAAGTCAGC